ATTAGAATCACTACCCAATGGGACAACTATGACCTCTCATACCAAGTACACAGGAGCAGCATATCTGGTGGTAGGGACCCAAGATGTCTGTGGGAATTAAACCATAAACAGCAGTGGCTGTTTATAGCGATGCTGTTTGAACATTTGTCCTTTTTGAATCTTTCTGTGTTTTTTGTCAACACTTCTTGGACTAGTGAGCTTCTCGTGTTTATTATTTACTGCATAAAATATGTTTATCTGTTCTAAATTATGTCAATTTCAAAGACCATGCTCTTGGCTGAATAGTTTGGAGATTTGGAATATAAATCAATGTTCAGGTTATTAAAATATTCATAATTTTGATCATATCCCCTTTTACTGCTAAAGAATTCTTAATTATTTGTTAAATAGTTTTTTTCCTTTTCTCTGTCTTGCGTGAAAGACCAGAAGGCTTGACTTTTGCATTTTATTCTTGTTCTTAACTAACATGTATATGGTACCTGTTACGTGCAGGTACCACCAAGCGCTTTACATCTAGTAACTTATTTAATTCTAACAGCCCTGTGAGGAAGGCACTGTTATTATCTCCATTTTACAAATGTTTTTGAAACTGATTCATATAACGTTTTAGCAACTTGCCAAACTCAAACCTACGCTGTCTGGCTCTAGATATGACTAAAAATTACATTGCCTTTGTCTGTTGTATGTGGCAGAAGCCCAATTCAGCATCAGTACTAACGCAGCATGAATCTTATTTTCTTTAGCTATTTTGATACAGATTGTCTCTTGAGCTGATTAATTACCTAGTGAACATTTTATAGTCCTCTTAGTTTCTTGAGGTTTAGAACTGCACACATTATTGCAGATTTAGAAATATCTTTAAGAATAAGATAATGGTTTGATTTCATGACTCCTCTTAAATTAATTACTGTACATAAAGCCCATTGACTGTCAAATAGTAGGTAGTCAGTGACTGTTAATCTTTTCTTTTTTCTCTTCTTAACAATATGTATATTATGTTGTTGGGGGTAACACTTTAAGGGAAAACTGCACACAGTGTTTGTTTCTTTCTTGGAACTCACAGTCCTTTATTTTATTTTAAATAAAATTTTATTTTAGAATAGTTTTATATTTACAGGAATGTTGCAAAAGTAGTAAAAAAAAAAAAAAAAAGTTCCCATATCCCCTGTACCCAGTTTTCCCTAATGTGTTAGCATCTAACATTACTATGGTACCTTTGTCACAGTTAATGATCCAATGTTGATATATTATATTAGCTAAACTCCATACCTTTTTGATTTCATTAGTTTTTCCCTGATATGCTTTTTCTGTTCTAAGATTTCATCTGGGATACCACTTACAGCCCTTTATTTTATGCAGAAAGTTTTGTATAACTGTAAATGCATTGTATTGTACTTGTCTGCATTAACCTGTGCATATAAACTCTTTAAAATTGAATCATTAATCTAGAATGCTCCATGAGTTTCTTAAAAATGGATTTATTTGAAAAATGGTCTAAAGACATAAGGGGTTGTGCTTTTCCTTCCTCTGTTGATATTAACCAAGATTACAGGTGTGCGTGAAACCAGGTGACTGTAGAACAGTGCAACTGCAGCTACTGTTATCAGTGGGAGCTGCTAACAGTGAGAGCTGATTATTTAAACTTTCTTTCCCTGTGCCTTGTTTGCTGCTGAATTAAGTGTATTTCCAACAACAGTGGTATAGGATGTTACTTTTTACCCACTTCAGTGATAGAGGAGGATGTTGATATGTAATGTCATCAACAGTACCTCTGATTTATTTTATTCCTTGTAACTGTCAACTGCCCGTAGGAACAGAATAGTGTTTCTATAGATTGTGATTCATGGGGTGCTGGTACTGGATGAGATCTTCAAGATCATTTAGGCAAAATCCCTTTATTTTGGCATCTGAGAAAACTGAAGCTTAGAGAAGTAAAGTGGCTTTTCTGTGGCTCCTTATCCTCATGTGTTGTTTCATTTAGTTATCACAGTGACAGTGGCAGTCTCAGAGGTGCTTCTCTCTAATGGGCATTAGGTGGGTGCCCAGTCCTCACTAGCATCGGGTCTTATTAAAGACACTGCCTTATAGCATTGGAAACAGTTATGGAAGCAGTTTTCCTCTAACTAAGTGACCATTTATTCTTCTGTAACAAAAAGAAAAAGAAGATTCTCCTTAATGTTGTAATATTTGTAAATAACTTGTACGTTTGTGAGATTTTATATATGGAATTGTTTTTTATTATTTTATAAATGTTGTAGTCTTTTTTCCTTCCTGTCAGGGTCAAATTTTCTATCACAGTACTTCTTGCTAGAAAATGAAATATGACTGGAGTACCAACTAGAAGGATTTTTGTTTAGTTCTCATCTCCTCAAGAAGGTTAAGTTTAAGTATTTAGTTAAAACATGTTAATGAGTTTCTTTGTGAAATGTTTTTGTTTTAGTTACTTACACATTGGGCATGCAAAAGCTGCTCTTCTGAACCAGCACTACCAGGTTAACTTTAAAGGGAAACTGATCATGAGATTTGATGACACAAATCCTGAAAAAGAAAAGGAAGATTTTGAGAAGGTAATTAAAGGTGTAGTGATGACCTTTTTTCAGAAAAATTAATTAAAATTAGAGGGTGACCTGATACCTTCACGGTATGAAAGTAAATTAAGTTTGTTCTCATAGCTGCTTTTTTTCCTCATCTGTGTATTCTGTGTCTGAGACCTAAGCCCAGAAATATTGAGCTCCCATACGAAAAATCTTCAGTTTATTTTTTTCTTCCTCAATTGTTGTAGAATATACCTAAGTGCTATATTTTCCTACTACCAATTTCTTAAATGAATTGGTCACTAGAGGCAGGTTTTCTTTTGTCATATGATCTTAAGTTTATGAATGAAACAAACATTAAGTAGGTATTGGAAAACGTGAAGGTTTCCTAGCCTCTTATATCATCTTTATTCAGAGGCACTGAAATTTGTTCAAAGAGAGGGCAAGTAGTTTCCTAGCCTCTTATATCATCTTTATTCAGAGGCACTGCAATTTGTTCAAAGAGAGGGCAAGTAGTTGTCAGTATGACCAGTAATAACCAGCTTTTCCAGAGTAAATGGGAAGCTCCATCATGAGATCAGCTTTTTCAGCTGAAAATTTGGAGGCTAGTATAATGACTATCTCTGTGTTTTTTTGTTTTTTTTCTGGATCTAATATATAACTTCCACAACCATTTTTCAGGCTATATAAGACTGATGGTGTATTGTTACATTTGCCCAAATACAGTTTCAAGGATTGAAAATACACAAGAAAATGCAAAAGATAAACTGATGGTTATTTTGGATTCTTATTGCAGGTTATCTTGGAAGATGTTGCAATGCTTCATATCAAACCAGATCAATTTACTTATACTTCGGATCATTTTGAAACTATAATGAAATATGCAGAGAAACTAATTCAGGAGGGGAAGGCTTATGTGGATGATACTCCTGCTGAGCAGATGAAAGCAGAACGTGAGCAGAGGATTGAATCCAAACATAGAAAAAACTGTAAGGCATATTTGGCGTTTGTATATTTTAAATGATATTCTTCTTGTATTCTCCTGCTTTCGTAGAACATGATTTCTTGTTTGTGAAAGATGCTGGTTTGAAACACATATGGAAATGTGATTCATAGGTTAATTCATCTCAGAAATCCTTTTTCTTACTCTCATCTTTACATTGTTATTACTTTGTTAGCATCACAACTTCATGTGAAGTGTGTGCGCCCTGAGCATCTCACTTATTACATGGAGTCTTTCGTGTTGCATTCATTCCATTTGAATGATTCCTTCTGCAACATTTTGTAGTTCTCTCAATTTAAATACTTAGCCTTTCTAAAATGTTTGGTCATGTCATTAGTATCCAAATCTTCCTTTCAGCATGTGAGTAAATGTGAATGTAATATATAAGCTTGATGCTACCCTATATTGGTGGTCTGGTTGTTAAGATTTGGTGCTCTCACTGCCTTGGCCGTGGGTTCATTTCCTGTCAGGGAACCACACCATCTGTCTGTCAGTTGTCATACTGTGGCAACTGCATGTTGCTGTGACACTGAAAGCTATCCCACCAGGATTTCAAATGCCAGCATGGTCACCCATGGTGGACAGGTTTCAGTGGAGCTTCCAGACTAAGACAGCCCACGAAGGACCTGGCCACCCACTTCTGAAAAAGTTGGCCATGAAAACCCCATGAATAGCAGAGGACCATTGTCTGATACAGCACCGGAAGGGGAGAGCATGGCACAAAAAGACTGGGTAGGGTTCTGCTCTGCTGTCGAAAGGGTTGCTTAGGAGTCAGAATCGACTTGATGGCACTAACAACAACAAACTACCTGTTATCTCTGAAGTATCACTTGACAAAAAAGCATGCCTTTCTTATTCTTGACTTGTCCCCAAGCTTCTGAATTGGACTGTTTTCATTCTGTAATTATGTTGTTAGAACTTCCACAGTACTATATTTAAATCTTGAGTGTCTCATTTGGGAAGTATAGTAAATTCAAATTGTTGCAGAAGTCTTTTCTTCCTTCCTCCCTCCCTCCCTCCCTCCCTTCTCTCTCTCTCTCTCCCCCCCTCCCCCTCTCTCTCCCTCTCTCTCCCTCTCTCTCTCCCTCTCTCTCTCCCTCTCTCTCTCATCTCTCTCTCCCTCCCTCCCTCTCTTCCTCCCTTCCTCCCTTCCTCCTTTCCTTCCCTCCTCCCTCCCTCCCTTCCTCCCTTTTCTCTACATTTTCAAAGATAGTTAACAACTGGACTTTTAGCCCTAACTTGATTTTTTTCAGGGCAGATGGAGTGTCCATCATATCTCCAGTAGTTTCCACAGAGAATCATGAACAGTTCTTTTTTATCCACATGGGATGGGTTTTCAACATTCTGACATAGGTAGGACCCTAATCACTTGGGATATAGAGTTCTTTCTTCTGGAATTATACTTACATCACCATCTGTTTTCTGTCGTCTTGTTTTCTCGGATCCGAGAGTATCCTGCTTCCCACTGGAATGACTGAGGGGCTTTCAGGGAGCCCACGGGCTCAGGCTCTCAGCCCGAGCCGTGTTCTTCAGATGGGCACGGGCTGCAGCGCCGACGCCTGTGGGCCCCATGGGCTGGGCCAAACCGGTCTGTCCCCTGGGCGTGAGGCGGCAAAAGAACAGAATGCTTCTGCTTCAAAGGCACAGTGTTAAATTGGAGGGTGGGAGGCAGTTGTGCCATGACAGGAAAATGGGAAACACTGAATGAGAGAAGCCTTCAGGCCTGGTACCTCCTCTCTCCCCCTTATTCAGTACTACATCAGGGGAATGTATTGACTTGACTTCTAAAATGTATTTATAGAGGACGTTTCCTAAGTATTTTGTGAGACTTCTTCATAAAAAAATGATGGATTTACTCTTGGCACCAGATATTGAAATTGTTACAGTACTTTTAAACTAACAGAGTGTGCTTATAATGGGAACATGAAATTTTGTATCAAATTGCAGGACTATTAAAATAATTTGAATTCAACCAGGTTAGTAATATGTTAGATAAACTGTGATATAACTATCATTTTATAGCTATTGAGAAGAATCTACAAATGTGGGAAGAAATGAAAAAAGGGAGCCAATTTGGTCAGTCCTGCTGTTTGCGAGCAAAAATTGACATGAGTAGTAACAATGGATGCATGAGGGACCCGACACTTTATCGCTGCAAAATTCAACCACACCCAAGAACTGGAAATAAATACAAGTAAGTGTGTCTCTTTCATTATGCCAGGTGGCCTACTGTGGTTTTACTTTGGTGCTCTCTGTAAACACGGAGTAGATGCAGACTAGTCAAGAGACCTGGATCTTTGCTCATGCACAGGTTGGCTGACTTTCAGTAGAGCACGTAGCCTCTCAGGCTATTTGCTCACCTATTGATTTGAGTTAAACTAAGTTATTTCTGTGATCACTCTGAATATAAAAGTCACTGAGTCTGCCTAAAATAGCTTTTTATATGTATTGATCGGGTGTACTGTAGTATATATCTTTAGATGAAGATACTTCTCTTCCTATTATAAACTGTGATTCTGCTGGACATAAATTGATTCATAAATGTGATAGAATTGAAAATTTACAGAAATACAAACAATACAATAATGTATCGTGTTTTCTCTAGTTTCAGTTCGTTTTCTAGATAACAGATTTTTTTCTTTAAATGGCTACCCTCCCACCCCCTGTTAATTTACTTTATAAAGTAACCATAGAATATATTTTCTTATACTTTGAAGAAGCCTACTACATATAAATGCTGAATTATAACTTGAAGAGATTGGTGAATGTAAATGATTACCTGGTTAGCTAATGTGACTTTCATTAAACTTGTGAGTGTAGATGTGTGTGTCCATATATATAGACAAACACTTACGTATGTGGTTGCATGTGCATATGTATTTCCTTTATTTTTAACAGGGTGATTGCTCCTTGTTTTACCAAGCAAATACTTTGAATACATTTGGAAAAGTGAATTTGGATACACATTTTCAGTATCAAATAATTGCAAAGCATAATGCAGGAGCATCTCAATGAAGTTGTATCTTAAAAATTAGAAAGCAGGGGCAGGCCTGATGGCGCACTGGTTAAGTGTGCATGTTCCGCTTTGGCGGCCCGGGGCTTGCCGGTTCGGATCCCGGGTGCGGACATGGCACTGCTTGGCAAGCCATGCTGTGGTAGGCATCCCACATGTAAAGTAGAGGAGGATGGGCACAGATGTTAGCTCAGGGCTAATCTTCCTAAAAAAACAAATTAGAAGGCATAATGCAGTAGTAATATATTTTTTAAATTGAAATTGCATGTGCATTGTGTACATTATTTTAGGTAGAAATTGTTTTTAAGACTATTCTACTTTAAATGGAGTTTTAATTAACCTAGTAATTTTCTTCTCTTTTACTTGTTAGAGGGGGAAACACTTTGTTCTTGAATGCATTTAATTACAAAGGTATTAAGCTTAGGGATTTACGTGAGTGCAGGATTAAGATTGAAGAAGTAAATTCCCTCATAATGATTATGTATATTGTTTATTGCTTCCTACCATGATATACATTGGCCATTACAGAAATATGATTGTAGAATTTGCTACACCAATACCAAAGTGTCTATTAAATTGCAACTTTGCTTTTTTTGTTTGAATGTTGAGTGGATAACTGATTCATTGTCTTCAAAGACTGATAAACTTCTTGTACATAGTTGTATTTTAAACTGGTATTGCTGCTTATAATGCCTAGTCTAAGATGGAAAGGGTAAAAGCTTCATGTTGATTTTCAAAACATTCCTTTCTTTCCTAGTGTTTATCCAACGTACGATTTTGCCTGCCCCATAGTTGACAGCATTGAAGGTGTTACACATGCCCTGAGAACAACAGAATACCATGACAGAGATGAGCAGTTCTATTGGATTATTGAAGCTTTAGGCATAAGAAAGCCATATATTTGGGAATATAGTCGACTAAATCTTAACAACACAGTGCTGTCCAAAAGAAAACTCACGTGGTTTGTCAACGAAGGACTAGTAGATGGATGGTATGTTTACTGTTACCTGTAATTGAAAGGAAGTAAGGACGTGGTGTATCAGTGATTTTTAAACTGCTTTGAGGGATAGGGAGGATGGATGGGAGGAAGTGGAATACGTGGGCCTGGAGAGTTTCTGGTCCTGGTCTTTATTGCATCCAGTAGAAAAGTGGTTGTGACTGTCTGGTCCTTCATAGATCTGGTTACCACTCTCCACACTCTGCTGAGCCTCTGTGGTTTTTCTTTTTGCCCGGGTCTCAGGAAGGCCACAATGCCCTGAGTTAAGGTGAAGACATAAATGGTGTCTGCCTTGGTGGTGAAGACCCACCTTGTGGAGCTCTTGCCCAGAGGATTCAGCACCTAGAAAAAGTTTGAAAATCTCTGTAGCATATTAATAACCTATATGGGATTTCTGTGAGACAGATGAATATAAAAATTAAAGTGATTTTGTAGCCAAGTATCTGTATTATTGAAACCTGTTCAGATGGGTTACCATGTTCATAAGTCTAAGAATGTTTTTTTACATGAATTAACCAGAATGTGTATACTAATTGATATTGCTTTACATAGTCGTGACATATGTTAAGTATTTGTTGAATAATGTGTATTTTATACTGTTTTACTGTGGAGCTGAATTTGACAAAAGGCAAGTTTATTTTGGGCCCCATACAAAGGATATCATTGCACACTTACTGAAGCTTGCAAATCTTTGCATAATATTAATAACCAACATACGTATTTTTTACAACCCAAAAGGCTTTATAAATTATATTTGTACACTGATAACATGTTACCATCTCTTTTCTGGTTCTTTTGATCATACGTAGAATAGGGACCTTAATGTTTGTTAAATAAAAAGTAAGCATGTTTTAATGTTTGTTCCATATTTGAAGATGTCACCTTTGTGTCTTTTTTCAAATGTGCTTTTATTATTTCTAGTAGTACATGTATTTTACTGAGCAATATTTCACTACCAAGCAGTTTTCCTCTTCTGTGAACTTGAGCTCACTGGTATTGTGATGTATCCAATCAGTATAACTGGCTCTTAGTCCAGATATTTAACAAGCTGTGTATTCAGGCATGTGGTGCTTAATCACGGGAATACGTTCTGAGAAATATGTTGTTAGGCAATTTTGTCGTTGTGAGAACATCATAGAGTGTACTTACTTACACACACCTCCATGTATAGCCTACTACACACCTCAGCTATATGGTACTAGTCAGGTGGGACCACCGTCAGGTATGTGGTCCGTCGTTGACCGAAACATCATTAATGTGGCACATGAGTATAATTTCTTATTCATTAACATATTTTGTATTCTCTTGCATCTACACGTTAAAAAAATCTTGGTGCTTAAAAATTTTCCAGGGATGACCCAAGATTTCCGACGGTTCGTGGTGTCCTTAGAAGAGGGATGACAGTTGAAGGGCTGAAACAGTTTATTGCTGCTCAGGTGAGTTTCCTTTCCAGCTTCTCTGTTTGAATTTTCAAGTGTCTGTTAATATCTCTTTAATCTTAATTATTTCCGTTGTTCTTTCTGTTCCTTGTTTATTCCTTATAATGCAAGGGCAGAATAGTGTTTTAAAAAAGGAGTATGTTTATCATTGTTTGTAATAGTGGAAAATTGAGAATGTCCTAAACTCCTAAGCTAGGTTTGGACAAAGGCAGCTGTAGTTTTTTTACCTAGTGAAGTATATGGCTGTTGACTCTAACTATTCAGGGTAACCATATTAGTTTGTACATACTAAGTTTTATATTCCAGTGGAAGTAAACTTGCAAGTATTTATTGGATTTATTTTTTCTAATATGCTTAAGTTAAAGAAAATATTCTAATTAATACTTCTTGCCCTTTAAGTCATTTATTTATTTTTTTTCTAGGGTTCCTCACGTTCAGTTGTGAATATGGAATGGGACAAAATTTGGGCATTTAACAAAAAGGTACATGTTTTGTTTCTTGGTCCTTTTCTCATGCCTAACTCCTGAATAGTGTATTATGTGTAGAATTCATTAGTGTGCTCATGGTAGGGAAAATTTGTGGAGAGTATTACCATTTTGCAGACTTTCAGGAAAATGGAATGTTTTCCTTTTTTAAACAAATAAAGAGCATTAAGCCTATTAACTATACCAAACAAGTAACAGTGATTAAAACAAACAAACTTGGAGTGATGGGAAACGGTAACAGTTTTTTCCTTAAATTTCTTATGAACACTCTGCATTTCATTTTTCTGCTTTCAAGCTGCGAGCTCTCTGTAAGAAGGTATTACTTAATGCTTTTATTTGCCTTACTTAGCACATAGCTTTTAGCATATTACATGTTATAACTTGAGATGTTATACAGCTTTGAAGCACAATCACATTTATATAAAAGATTTTCTTGTACAAACCCTTTGAACATGCATTATTCCTATTTTTAAAAAACATGTCCTCTGGTTTTCTTAGTGGCAAAGGGAAGATTTGGCTAACTCCATTCTGCTGTTCCCTTGTGCACTGAGAGGACATAAGAGTTTTAAAGTTACATACTTCATTGAGTTGTATGGAAGGTTCATTAGTCATAATTCCTGTGTCTTACTGAATCTAGCTTTTTTCTTAATTGTTTCTTAAAT